TCTGGTGGAACCGACCTTCGAATCTCTTCACCCAACACTTCTACTCGAAATGGAAGTAATCCCAATAACAGTTTTTTTGAAGATATTATCATTCTTTAAAAAATAATTCAATTGTTCTTCGATGAAATTTCGTTTTACTCTGCCACATTTGCGTGCTAGGTCCGAGCTAGAGTGAAGTTTTAGCAATATACTTTTGACCTAATATATTTTACCCTCTAATGATGAAAAGATATTGGTGAAAAATTTCTATTTTTCTACTAGATAAAGGCTAAAAACCATCTGAAAACATTGGAATTCCCCCTCATTAAGCTTCAAATCTATTTTGGTTAAATGACCACTTCCTTCTTTTGCCTTTACTTTTCAGAGTGCAAGACACTCAGCCGGACTTCTTGCTTTTTGATTATGGCTTCACTAAGGTAATAATTCCATTATTTTATACGAATTTAAAATATCTAAGGCTTTTTAGGTTAATCAAACGCTTCATATAAAGAAATTTCTTACCACGGCGTTCTCATAATGGTTTGCATTGGAAAAAGTAGAATGTCATTAAATACAAGTAGATAAAAGCTGCGATTTTTTATCTTTCAACTACCTGATACCTTTAGGAATATAGAGAAGCCAACATATGCTAGGCTTTTGTAGCTTCTCCGTGACTATACCCTTGATTGACTTAAATTTTGAACAGTCTTTCCATGCAAAATAAGGCTCGATAAACAAAGATATTGGAATATAATAATTATCTGTAAATATGTAGAAAAAATTGGTTTTCAAAGAATATCTTGATAGATTGACGTTGGAGTATGTTTAATTTCGTTGGAAAAGGCGAGTGGAAGAGATTCATTAGTTGACCTCACTGGTAAGCGGAAGATTATGGAATCCATTGAAATCAACAAAATAGCCAACCTCACGAATGAGTGGAACGATGGTAGGAAATTAAGCAGAAACTACTTGTGGCTGTTGGATAAGATAAGAATGAGAGAGAGGAAACAAGAAGTATCGCCGAGCAAGAGAAGGCTTGATTAACCTAAATCTTGTTTTCACTTTCACACCCTACACGTCTCACGAGCATGGCATGCACTTGACATACGTGCGGTGGAACGTAATCACATGCGGCAACATTGCGGGTTTGGTCTCAATTGCGTCCGTTTGACGCTTCATCTGAAGCCACGTTACCTTTCAACAAGCAGTTAGGAAAAGCATAGATTATCCAGCAAAATCGTGAGATATCATTTAGTGGGTAAAGTTAGGAAATAATAAGTGGGTAGGTTTGCAGCCGACCACATTCCTTGTCTTCGAGCTCGGTGTCCTGCTATCACGATTTCCGACATAAAGGACAAAAGCTCAGCAAGGATTCACCGGAGTCGGGGAGCAATGCGCCGAGGAACTATTCGCATAAATCTACAATCGCAGTTCCAAAACAATCCTTCTACAACCTTCGAGGAGGCCAAGTCACGAAACCCTTTGGCTCGCCTCTTCTAACGAAATGAAAGGTACTCCAACATGAATTTAATAATTATTCTCCACTTAATCAGTAGCTAAGAAAAGCAGTTGCTTCTTTAAATATTCTGATGGTTTTTTTTGGGAGTCTCATTGGCCCGATATAGTATGTTTTGACAGAATGCAGCTCCACCCTCTTAAACCGAAATGGAACGAAGGCCTTTCGTGGAATTCGGTCCTAGTAACCATAGCAGACGAAGGAGAATTGACTTTTATATCCTAGTGGAACAGACTTACCGCTTTCTCAAACATACACTTTAACATAAGGTGGATGTCAATATAGCTATCAAACTAGTTACGTACAAACCTAATACTTAAATTATTCATATTTTCTTTTCTTTCTTCGGTAGTCACATTTTGGAAATAAGTTTTCACCATAAAGATTACCCTGTTCAAAGGTTTTCTTGTAAACTTACGTTTATGCCCCAAGTCATTTTCAACTAATTGAAACGATATTAAATGAGTTGGACTCAGGAGATTTGAAAGGAATAAAGATCTCTTATTTCCCGAGTGCGGCCTGAGGCCATTTTGTATCTGTTTAGAGACAATAAATTAGGGCCGATCAAGTAGCCAAACTAATTTTCATATGCATGCAATTGATGGTTGGTTATTTTTCGTGTACTAGAGAACAGTTAACAGGGCATACAAATGCACGATGAATAGGTAGACATAGTTTTGATATAAATATGACGAAAAGTAAATCAAAATTTATAAAAATGTATAAGAAATGCCAAATCTTTCAAGCCCTAGTCTATATGGATCATAGATATGAAGACCAAAATGGTGTGACTTTCTGTTTGGCCGCAGTCTCTTTTAGCCATACAATGTTTGTTTGACCTCGCTTTCGCAACATGGTCGGAGCGACATGGAGACCTAATGGAGCGTACCTGGTTCTGCGTCCTCTACCAGCATCGAATCATTGACTTAGTACGTTCCCTTACGCTTCGCCGGCATCGTAGTCTGTATCATCAGTAAGAGCCGCCATCGTTAGCACAGCTGTGACAAGTTGTAACCTTGTGCTAACGATGGCGGCTATCACTGACGATACCAACTACGATGTCGGCGAAGCGTAAGGGAAAGTACTAAGTCAATGATCCGATGCTGGAAGTCACTATACTATGGTAGAGGACGCAGAACCAGGTACGTTCCACAAGGTCTCCATGTCGCTCCGACCATGTTGTGAAAACGAGGTCAAATCAACACTATACGGATAAAAGAGACTGCGACCAAACCGAAAGCCACACCATCTTGATCTTCATATCTACGATCCGTATAGACTAGGATTCGAAGAACCTGGCATTACTGATTAATTAAAAAAAAATAATTTTATGTATCTCTAGTTGCGGCTCGATAATTATTTATTAATAGTTCGACACGTGTTCAGTGCTCCTTAATTTCGTCTAAACTTTTTGGTGTACAAAAAGGCGCAGTGAATGTGGCCCTTTGGTTTTCACGATCGTCTAAACGGCCAAGCTTCTTGCAGTAGCAAATTAATTATGACCGGACGTGTTCAAGCCTGCGCGGGTTGTTTTACTACTGGAATGCCCACTCATTTTCCCGACCAATCAGACATGCACCAAAATTTTCCTTACCCACTTAAGCAAGACGCAAGCCTGACTGTATGCCCCCTCTCATATTGTAGCTCTACTTCAGCCAGCCAGAGGGATATAGCGTGGCATTTTCAGACCATTTGATCTCACTCTCCCTTACCAATGCGACCCAGAGAATATATTTAGGCAGAGGCACAGGTTGGTCCAAAGGACGAATGGGAGATTGGGGCTGACTGAGCTGCGTAGGGTAGATTGGCCGGGCGGCAAGCATGGCTTTTCGCTTAACTAATTGCCTGGCCTGGCTGCCGACTCTCTGCTTATTGGCCAGGGTCAGCACGTCCTAAGGTCTGAGGCCCTAGGAACAGGCAGTCTGGGAGGCATCTTGATCAGTGGAACAGTGTGAGAGACCTAATGAGACATCATTGTGAGGGACCTGCGACAGGTCGGGCAGACAAAATGCATTGTCAGACTCTAGAAGGATATAGGCTGAAGGAGAAATGTGTGAGAAAACCCCATGCCAGAGATATTATTCCTTCCCTCACCTTGGCTCTTTCACATTCTTTGTCTCATTACTTTGTCCCCCTCTCACTCTCCACCGCTTTCCTTGGCCTAGAGATAATCACATATACTGGTCGGGCCTATGGATAGAGGAGATAATGGGAAATTTAACTTTGTCCACCAAAATCTATGAGCAGCCCCAGCATTTTGCGTCTGGAGCCTCCATACAGGGCCGAGAAATGAAATGTGTGCAGACAGACACAAAAACCTTCACACCCGTCATCCCAGCACCAACCGTCTAGCAAGATTAAGAAGCATCGGAATGGATATACAACCAAGTCGCTGTTTTGGGCCAATTAGCCAGTGACTGAGTCGGATTTAGCTTTCATTCTGCCCAAAAGCTTCTGGGTCAACGTCTACAATTTAACATACTTTCGTCACACAGTGGTGGACGCCATCGCGCATGGAGGCGTGTCTCAGTTATTTGTCTCTACCAAAGTGCCCAGCAGGAGAGTCTGAAATGCTATCCGATGAGTTCGCCAATATAGCGCACCAGAGACAATTATATTGTGCAAGCTTGGTGCCCCCCCCTCAACCTCGAGCTTTCCTGACTCCTTGTTTTGTTCAAAAGAACAATTCATTGCATTCAAAACGCAAATTGCAGACACTTCATTCACCAGGAGTTGAGCAAACTGGCCTCACAAATCGCATGGAATTAGGAATTACACAAAATGGCTCAGTTGAATTACCTTTGGTCCTAGCCACTCCCTTGGCTGGTGTGCCCCAGGCGTTATATGAAGAAAATGGAGTATTTGCCACAATGCCAGTGTCTCAGCGGCCCACTTTTTCTCATCCACAGACTACTTTGAGTATCAATCCCTGCACAATATCCCCCTCGAATTCACTAAAAGCTAACTTTGACGTGAGAAATTTCAACGAGTACATTGCTGCAAGCCTGGCACAATTATGGCCATCTAGTTCTAATTGTGCAAGTTCGCTCTCTGAAACCATGTTACAAGACAGTACCAAAATTGGTGGACCTGGTAAAGCGCCTCTTTCTAAGCCTACAAAATCAGACCAAATAGTATCATTCGCCGGCTCTAATAGAAGCAAGGAGGAAGAGCTAGAGAAAATTGGTCCGACAGTATGGCCAGGATATGTAAAAAATCCCCTTGGCTCATCCCAGCTAATCGAGCCAGATTCTTTAGCAATTAGTCAATTATTTACTCAACCTGACGAGAATTCGGTTGAAGAAACCATCGACAATTCGCAGTTTGAACAGGAGGGGAAAATTTCATCTGATTTTTTCTTTACAAAAAGGCGCCGATATGCACCGCATTCTTATGAAGCGAAACTCGAGGTTCAGCAGGGATTCGCGCGAGATACTCGAGCCTTGGACAAGGAAGGCAAAGATTTCACTACCAGTGACAGTGAAGCTAAATCCTTCCTCATTCGGGATTTACTCTCATCTTCATGCCAGGCCAACAGAAAAAAGTTGGGTAAGTTTGTAAATTTGTTTCCCTTATTCGGATACCGTTCAACGAGGAATTAAATTGTGCTCTTGCACAGCAACTAATCATCTACTACTTAATTCCTAAGTCGCCATTTCGAGACTAGAGTCTAAATATTGTATTTTTACTTTACTGATGCAACAAATTGTGCAGCTCTTTTGGAATTTGCAAAATAGGTTTATAGAAGTTGAGTATCGCATGTGTCAAAATATTTACATAACAGTTCTTGTAAAGACATGCATTTTCGAATGCCGATTGTCCTGGTATGGAAAAAGATCCCTGTAATATATTGGCAATGTGTAAAAAATATGGTGAAAAATTTGCAAAAGCGAGCTCAAACTATGCTTTTAGTAACCGAAATTATAAAAAATGCTGCTACTGATTATACTAATCAAATTCCCTTAACTGAGTCGTCTAGAAATTTATTTCGTCAACACTGAATTCTCTGACTTGTGGATAGATGATTGTGATATATTTTGATATGTTGTTGCTAATTTTAAATAGCCTGTCTCTGTCCTCTTAATCTTGTTCAGTAGTTAAGCCTTCTAGCCTCTCCTGTGCCTGAACTTAAACAGTAAAGTGATATTAAATTACAAAGTATTTAAACTAACAATTCAAATGAGATATGATCTTCCCTTTCTGAGATGATTGAATCTAACCTCATATGATTTGGTCAATTTACTAGAATCTCTTGTGAGAACCTAAGTGGAGCTTCACTCTACATCAGCCTTCTAAAAGCGAAATTATTTGTCCTCCGGATCCGCATAAAATGCTTTTATATCTAAACTTTTGCCTCTAGATATAAAAAATATACAGTCAATTTTGTTTGCTATATTTTATCATTCCATATCGTTCCGAAAAATTGTGTTTCACTTTATAATTATTTTTTATGAATTAATGTAAATGCCATTGTATGCTATTTGGTTTATATCTACTAAAAATAACAGATGATTAAAATATATACTTGGAAAGGCTTTGCTTATAGGGCATTTTTGTGAAGCTTTACTAATATCTTATATAGCTCAATCCATTTGAAAAATTTTGCGTAAGTCGAAATATTAAATTCTCAAACCTAAACCAGCCTTATTCAGCGTCCGTGGGTTTCTTGCTAATATTTAAAGATATATCCTAGTCAAGCAACTTCCTTATTTCTTGGTGTGAATATATTTCGAAATTCTTAATAAATCCCGAATGATAAATTAGTCACCTTTGTTTACTAAAGGAAATTTAAAGGCCGGTAATTAAATTTTCTCATAACCTTAGAACTAGGTCTCACAATGCCACTAAATCTTATTTGAGGCCTACTAATATAATAGTGGAAAGAGCTCCACTATCTGTAGTTAAATAAACTTAAGTGACCTAGGATCACTAGCCTCTAACCTACACTCTAGTCATAATTATCTAAGCCATCATACCCTTCGCTTGCTTAAATCAATTTTATCGATAGACTGAAACAAATCGCGTATAACGTGATTTCAGTTTGGGGTGTTTGGGCAGCTACTAGGTATCTATGACCTGCTATTTGTGCTGGCTACGTTTATTTATATTAAGTTGTTAATTTGGCCAAAATTGCCCTTCATTTTAAACCTTCTGTAAATTCTGTCTGGCATTTACATTCAAGTATTTTTTATATTTATCAAGCATCATTAAGTTCTTAACTTTTGGCTTGATTGTGCTGATTTGAATTCCATTGAATTGTTATTAAACCGAAGCTTAGAATAAGAGCACTATTGGACAATGCACTTATGTAATACAAAGTATAGTGGATGGATAGCGTGAAAAATACTAAGAAAGCTCGTTTATGAGGAATAGATATTGAATGAATTATATTTTAGTTAGCAAATTTGATCTGCTAGAGTTGAATTTGAAACGAAAGGAATATATTCATATAAGAGTAGGGTTTCGAGACTACCAGTGAATCAGTAGTCTCCCATCCTGCACTGTCGCGGTTCGACTTCCACTGAGGGTGT